TAACAGAAAACCCAACACAACACTCAGAGACATCAGTATGCCAACAGCAGGCACAGGGCAGCAGAGGATGGGGGAGATGGTGGGGTGAGCCTCTGTCAAGAAATACAGAAAAATATAGAGTCTGGTGACCTCTGTGACCCTCTCCCACGAACCGCTGTGCATCCTGAACAGCCCCGCGGACATTTCACTGGAGCTCAACCAAGGGCTCCTTTGAGAACATTTCCAGTACCATTTTGGAGTTGTAGAGTAAATCGGAAGACTTACAAAATGAGTAGTGCACAGTTTAGACCATTTCCATTGTTGTTCCTTTCTAAAAGCACGGCTGATCTCCACCTCGCTACGCTGTTTTCTGATTCTACGATGTAATTTAATGCTGCATGCTTTTTACAAAATTGGAATAACGATTATGTTAAAAGTTCAAGTGCTATTTGAACCATGAAAACTCACTGCATTTCCCCATAGATTCAGGGAGCTTTACAGCTGCATTGATTTAAACATATTTAATTAACCCCTTGAACTCTTGCTCAAAGACATGTTCGCTGCAGAAAAGGGAGCGTGCCTGGAAACCCGCTGTGCTTTTACATTCACGAGTATAACAAACTATATGGTTACTCTCTTATATTTTGTAAGCAATATGATTCATGGCAACCGGTAGGAAATGATCTAACCGGTCTAAATCAAAATGTTATTTCCTGTTTAAAGTGTTTGTCAAAGGAGGAGCACATTAAGTGACATTGATGAATCACAATCGGTTTCAAAGCAGGAGGCAGTTTAATTGTGTTTTCTCTTTATTTATTCGACTCAGAAATTGGACAAGAATGGCAGGGTGTCATTAAAACACCGATACTTGCTTAGTATTTTAATGCAACTGTTAAAACTGGTGGTGTGGATATCCACACGATGCAATTGAGTCGTCGTGACATGAAGGGCGAGTGAACAATTATTGTTTTGTTCCTCCGTAATATAGGGGATGTTCACCCTCTGTATGAAACCAGAGCCCGGTGTGACTTGTTAGTTAGTTAGATCATTTTGTTTTCTGTAGGAGTGCTGATTAAGAAGGAATAAAAGAAAAATAACTATTGAAGCCAGTCAGGTTTTCTAATAGCAAAACATGCATTGTTATGGTAATTACAGTATGGGGCCAATAACCTAAACACAAATTCATTAAAAACAAGTTAAAAAAACTACTGGTCAGGGAATGGGCTGGAACATTGCAAAACTCAAGCATTAACTCGGTTACAATAAGTAAAATAACAAATGTTTATCAACTATACAATTTGTTATATATGTTCTGAGCTGATTGGTTGCCTTGTAAGCTCATTAAATAACTCAGAATGCCTGACAGTAATAATATAAATTAATTTCCATATGACATCCCTCATATAGGAATAGAGCAAGTGCTCACAACGTAGTACATTTATGTTGGAGATTTACTGGTTTGGAACATTGCATTTTTCACAATTAATTGAACCAAATAGTGAGGAGCTGACTTGGAATTTAATTTAAGCATTACTCGCCTTGGCTGGGGAAAGCAAGAGCAGAGTCATAACTAATTGGACGAAAGCTGCTCTGTGCACAAATCCCCAATCGGCCAGCATGATGAGGACAGATAGAGCCAATGAGAGCCTGCAAAGAGAAGCATGGTGAGAAAAAAAAGATGCAGTACCTTCTCTTATTGTAAATAAAATGTAAAGGATGGTTCTCTACTAAGAGGAATGATATCATTGATCATTTCAGGCCTGCTGATTCAGTGGCTGTGTGGAGTAATGAGAGTGGAGGTGATGCATGGGAGGCGTTCAGGGGAGGCTCTAGGGAGTGGGTGATATCGCAGTTTTCCCTAAACCTTATTAGGATTCAGCTGAAACCTGCACTCTGGCATAAAAAGGATACCACGGTCTGAGGAACAGCGAGAAAAACATAATGTAAGTAAGAAAGTAAAGTTTATTTATAAAGCGCTTTTCACAGACAAAGTCACAAAGTGCTTGACAAAACAATAATCCATATAGGAGGCGTACAATGATCAATGAACCCTAATGTTAAGAAGTCATAAAAGCACCAGAGCATAATTTAAGACACAATAAAACAAAATTTACAAATGAAATTTAAAACAAACAAAAAATAAAAACATAGTATTAAATGGAATAAGATCAAGAACACCGGTTACCCAAACGCCTGACCAAACAGGAATGTCTTTAAAATAGTTTTAAAAGAGTCAACAGACTCCGCAGACCGTAGATGAGCAGGCAGAGCATTCCATAATTTAGGAGCCACTGCTGCGAACGCTCGATCACCGCGGGTCTTAAGGTGGGTACGTGTCCATATCACACAGCCAAAAGAGGATTCAGGTGAATTTTGGAAACCAAAAAGAGATAACTCAACGGATAGGAAGACTACGTGACTGCATGAACATATCATTATGGAATATAGGCACCACAACTGATCCCAGTTAATCCCAGTTGGGTTCATTTTGGGGTTTATCTGAAACTTGAAAATGGCATGCTGCAATTTAGTGGTAAAAATAAGCAACATGCAGGAAAAAGGGTTTACATTTGGATGTAAAAGACCCATCAAAACACGTCCCGATCGCGGTTTCTGAATGTCAGAGCCATCTACATCTTATGGTGAGACACTCAGTTTGAAATGCCAGAGCTATATTCCACACTTAAACCTCCATTAGTACAAAGAAGTTTATTCTGCTTTGCATTTAATTTTTAATTTAAGCGCTGAAGACAACTTAAGTTACCTGGTATAACTCCAGTTCTATGAATATGTGTGTTGTTGTACTGCTTTAGATAGTTCTTTGAAACCACAGCCAATCAGTTGATGGCATGCAGGCCTTATAAAACAGTGGACGACACAATCTGAGGAACTAAAGCCACTTATACAACATCGAGTCAACTACTATGTCCATATAAGGCAGGCCTCATTATTTCGTAACACCTTTAGGCAATTAGTTCTCGTTCTGCTTAATCTCGTTACTTTTCCAGGATTTTGTGTTACATTTACAGAAATTCACCCCCATAGTGCGACATGAAGAACACCCACGGTGCTGAAGGGGAAAACGGTAAGAATAAATACTAAGAAAGTTGAGGGTATTATCAACAGGGACCAACTTTGAGCTTTCAATCTGAGATAGCGAACGCTGAATCACTGAATCCTTGTTATTGTTAAAGAGTTTTCATTATACTCAGTTCACATTCTCCACTCACCATTAGAAAAACATCTTCCTTACTGCCTGGTTAAATGAAAAGAATGCTTTGCACTCCTTGAATGTGTTTCTCTTTTGTAACAGAAAAGAGTATAAGAAATATCTCAAATCATTGTTCCATTCATCAGCTGCTACGTTCCTTCAATTGAGTACTTGTGATTTTCAGATGATTTCTATATTCTGATGCCCATGAACAAACAAAAGTCTAGCATGATGATATCAAATTCTGAATGAATGTCTGTCAGTTTGTCACACTGATGCTCCTGTATACATATTGAATGTTTCCAGAGTCATGTTTTGTTTACTTCCGTTTAAATTGCTCACCATGACGGGAAACCCTGATGCCAGTTTCCTAGCACAAACTTCAGTTCTTCACCTTAGGGAACAAAACAGGGCAGCATTTCACTTCTCATTTATAAGTAAAACGTATGTGAAAAACGTACTGTATGAATGTATTTTGTTGTGATATTTTAGGGTTCGCAAGCAAGCGTTCCGAGACCTCATTCACACCAACGGTGTTTCAGGGCCGGTTCGGAGCTGGAGCTTGAAAAGCACCGGGTTTTCCTCTTCACACCGCAGCGGAGCAGCCTCTTAGCTCCGGAATCCGGTTCAAAAAATTGTCCGGCCAGAGCAAAAGCACCACATACGTCACGCTTACGTCGAGGCGGGGGCAGGGGCAGGGGCGGGATCAACTC